TCTCTGAAGCAGACGACTTCTCAAAAATTGTAGACCAGTGTTATTATTATAGTTTGTGATACATGATTCTTTATTTGTTAAAAGTCTTCCTGTATTTTTCATATTTCACTGTGGCAAAGAATATGCTAGGGTAATCTTCTGTGTAAAAATCTGTAGCAGTTTATCTAATATCACCATGATATCCAGGCACTAACAAAACTACATAAACAGTCTATCTAAAATACTGTATTCTCCACTCTTCATTATTCTTTTTTGTTCAGTTAAAGTATGCATAAATAGTTTTAAATTACATTATTCGTTATGTTCAGGGAAGCAATGTAGAGTCTTAAGGCTGTTTTTATGGGAAAGCAATTGCAAATAGATGAGTCTTACATTTGTGTCTGAAAGTTGGAAACCCATGGTCATTACCATTTTTGATGGAAAGGCATTCCACAGTCATTAGTCACCCTCTTGCTCCTGCAGCAAGTGTAATCCTTGCTACTGACCTTATCCCTTGTCCCTGAAAAATGTAATTGCTGTAATAAATTACAGAGAAAAAGTGCCTGAGATCATCTGGGTTCACCTCACTCAGGGATTTGAAGATCAAGACCAGGATTTTGAATTGAAACTAATTTTGGACAGGGAGTCACTGTAGATTTTGGAGCATTAGATTGCTGTACTCATCCTATGTTAGTAGACAAGCCACTCCATGTTTGATCAGCTAGAGTGTAAACCCTTTACTTTCAATCCCTGGTACAATGCATTGGAATACATCACCATGGCCAGGGCTCTATACAATAGGACTGAATGCATCCCCTGAGCAGTTGGAGCTACTAAGAGGCATTTCTAGCCATTATAGCTATTTGTGTATCCAGAAGAAGCAGAGTCCAGAAGACTCCCCAGGCCATGAACTGACTTGATGATTACACTGAAGACTTCTTCAGGTAAGGAGTGTCAGAGGGGTAGCCGTGTTAGTCTGAATCTGTAAAAAGCAACAGAGGGTCCTGTGGCACCTTTAAGACTAACAGACTTCAGGTGAGGGTGACTTTTGTAGTTATGGCCATTTCTTTTGGGTAACTTCCCACACTTACATAATTGTCTATCTTGCCAAAGATTAGTTTGTCAGCTGCTTCATGCAGGTGCATTTTGTTCTCAGGCAACAGGAAAACTGGATAATAGGATGGTTTGTGTTTGATGTGAAGGGGATGAGAGTAGTAGACACCTGGCCTGGCAAAACGTGTGGGTCATGGAGTTTGATGCATGCTTCTCAGCTGCTCCTGTATTGCCTTTAGGTTCTGCAGTAGTATGGTGAGTGAGTGCTACTTGATATTGGGGAGGGCACTGGTGCATGTGGGTCTGTCTGCGAGACTGGGACAGCCCAGGCCTGATCGGATGTGGACCATGATTCTGGTGTTGGTCCGCCAGAGGACGGAGTGTAATGTCCCTCTCCTGTGACACCGGGCACGGTCCCCATGGGTAACGCTCGGTTCCCGTCAGTAAGCCTCTGCTCGGAGCCGTGCCGGGGAGAGTCAGAACCCTCCCACTAACACCCACCCGTCTCCTCCGGCCCGTCGTCTACCCCGCAGCTCCAACCTAGGCCCCACTCCTCTCCCGCCCCCCGGGGCGCCCTCCGGCGGCGCTCGGCTTACGTCACGGCGCAGTGCCAGAGGGGCGTGGCTCCCAGACAAAAGCGAGGCTTAGGCGGGGTCAGAGGGCGGACTTCGAGGTGGGTAGTATGACGTAGATGAAGCGTAAACGGGATGGGGATTGTGTAAAAGTGACGTCAGGGTGGAGGTGGAGTTTAGGGGCAAGATGGCGCCTACTGCGGTGGGGGCCGCGTCCGGGGAGCGGGGTCTCAAGAGCCTGGTGTGGCAGAGTAAGTGCGGGACACCCATGTTCCCTTCCGTCCCTGCGGGCTCCCTCTCTCTAGGGAAGGGCCCACACGGTCCCGGCGCCGAGATAGCGAGTCCCGGCCCTGGGGCACCAGCACTCGCCTTGCGGCTGCGCCGCGCCCGGCAGACCCAGTGAGGGGAACCCGGGCTGAAGTCCTGCCCTCACTCCTTTGGGGGCCTTCCTCCGTGTGCCCCCCAGCCCGTGGTGGGTCACTGCGCTCCGCCTCTGCGCTCCTGCAGCCCGAGCCCGCGGCCTGCTGCGCGCCGCCGAGAGGGAGCGGAGCGGCAGGGTCAGGGGCTGGTTGCTGCGGGAGTATGGACCTTGTCTCCCTGAACGGGAGACAGCCGCTGAGCCTACCGGGCCTGAGCTGCTGCCTCCGCCTAGTGATTTGGCGGCTGTAGCGCCCTGCTGCGGAGCCGCGCGCTTCTTCGTAAGCGCCAGGAAGGTCCCCGGTCAGTGAAGGCACGGGGCCTGCTGTAAATGTTTTGCGGAAGCGCAGTATAGATTGTGTGATGTTGAAAAATGAGGTTTTGCCCCATGTGGGTCCTGTCTTCACTGGCCTGGGAAATCCTGTTGGTCACCGTCTCATTATAACGGAAGTGCTACAGATGCTGGGAAGTAGCACTGACTTATTACACTGACAACAGGTCTTTATTCTTAAGTTCTCCTCTATGCTCCAATTTGCACCGGTTTAATTAGTTTAGCCTTTGTCTTGATCGTTATTTTTCATTGGAATATTATAAGGGAATAGCTCTGTTACAAAAACTGCAGCATTGACACTGTTCTAAGCACAGTGTTTTCTAAACTTCCTCCTATGGTCAGTGGCGAAAACAGTTGTCAGGGTGTTGACAGAGCTCACCAAGTGGAGCACCCATTGTAGGAAAAAATTGATAATGACAAATTTTGAAGTTTGTTGGCACTGTGTACTCAAGCTGAACAGTCACCTTCTTCAGTGGCTTTTGAGGGAAGTGGGAGGTTGCCAACTCTGGACAGAGGGCACCCGCTGTCAAATGCAGTAGTTTTTAGAGTATGGAGCCAATGCTTCTGAAAGGGGATTTTCATCATATTTCAATTTTACTGAATATGTTCAAGTAAACGTTCTTCAAGGATTTCTACAACTTTTTTTTTTTTTTTGCTTATTCTCAAATGTTAATTACAGACTACTTTGTTTTATTTTTAATTGTTGCTAAATGACCACAAGGAACATATAGTTAGCACTGATGTTTATTATTAGACTGCATATATGAGCAGAAGTGTACTTTTCTTAGCACACTTACTTTTGTCAGAAAATTGCTGTTTAAAACACCACATACTACTTTTTGTATTGATGTAGTGAACATTTTCTTCTGGCAACTTGATACTAGTAACACAACATATTTGGGAAAGTAGAAGTCCAATCAGAAAATTTATAAAAAAAAATGTTAGCAGCTAAAGATTTTGCTGTATATGATAGTACAAATGGATGTGCATTTCAGAAAATGTAAAATAAATGAGGAGGGCAAAGCATTTATTACCAATGCTTATTGTCAAATTTGGCAGCACTGGGAGAGTTGCTATCACAGAAGTATGTAGAGTTTGAAAATTGGGTTTGTCATCCAGAACTTGAAAGAGTCACTTGTTTTTTTCCTCACTGGTGACTGGAAAGTTTTCCTGGAAAATGCAAGGGAATTAAGTCATGTCTACAGAATGTAAACTTTCCTTTGGTGTTGCAAGACGGCAGCAGAGTTTCTAGCCTTTATGGTTGTGAAAGTAACCTTACCTATATATACCCATGTAGTGTGACATTCCTGAATCTTTCTTCAGTGCTCCCTGTAGATTTTTCCAAAGCTGCAAAAAAGTGAGACTACCAAGAGAGACTGAGCACTTCTTTTGCTACTCAGAGGTCTCTGAGTATCAGTGAAAATGGCAACTATCTTCTGTCATTCTGAGCAGCAGCAGAGGCAGGTACTGTTGCTGTCCAAGGAGAAGGATTTTCCCCACCCTGAGAAAATGAGGCTGTATATAGTAGATATGCCCCCTTCAATAGCTAAATTTCTGGTGGAAAAGTAAAATATCAGAAATTCTGACTTGTGTGGGAGATGGACAGGGTATTGGAGGACTCCCAAACAAACAGAAAAATAAGGCTTTGAAGCAGTCAGAAGGACTGTTTCTCCCCCTCCTTCCCATAACAGGCAGGAAGTATTGGAATTGGGTAGTGAGGAAGAGTTCCACCATTTCAGAGACGTGTAATAGTGGGAGCTTCATGTTTATCAGACATGTGCTAGTTACAAGTTAGTATAAAAATGGAGTCCAGGGGCAACACTCTTACCCCTCCTGGAAAAAGTACAACACCCTTTTTTAAGGAAAAGGGGAACCTGGGCTTTTTTAGAGTCCTACAGATAGTTAACTGTCTAGTAAACTCTCCAACACATGCCCTCTCCCAACGTACAGTTTTCTCACTGAGGCCTTCTCTACATTACACAATTTTGTTGGCAAAAGTTGCATTTTGCTGACAAAATAGGGGACGTGTACAAACTATAAAGCTACTTTTGGGTGGCAAAACTCTGCTTTTTTGCTGACAAAATAAAACCACCTCAACAAGAGGCATAATGCTTTTTGTGGCATAGTTAAAGCGACAAAGCATCAGTGTAGATGCTGCCTTTCATGTTGACATAACTGGCCTCCCCCGGTATCCCACAATGCCTGCCATGACCGCTCTGCTCCCTGTTTTGAACTCGGCTGCCCTGCAGGCATGTGCCCTTCCCCTTTCAAAGCTCTGGGAAGTTCTGACAGCTGAGAATGCCTTCTGCTCTGGCAGCAAAGAGCAAATCATTAGGGTGGAATCTTCCTGTTCTCCCTTTCACTAGGAACACAGCAGCAGGCAGACTGCTCGTGGGGGGTGGGACTGCTGTGCTGCTTTGACGTTCCTCAGTGTAGAGAGCGCGCTGAGCTGCTGAGGATGCCGCTCCGGTCAGCTGAGGAGGCTCTGGGAGAACTTCGAAGGAATCACAGAACCATAGGCAGGCAGAGCAGGCTGCTGCTGTGGGGGAGGGACAGGGGGAGAGACTGCTGTGCCATGCAGAGGTGGGGGTGGTGGTGTCCCCCTGTCTCAGGGTAGCTTTGTCAGGAAGCTGTCTGAACTTAGAGACAGCATGCCAACACAGTTGCTCTCCCCAACACACACACTTCCCCAACACACATTCTGTTTGTCTCTCTTTCTCCCTCTTCCCCCCCCCCCCAACACTTCCTGTCACACAGTGCTCCCTGGCCCTCACCACCTCAGCTGAAAAGCGACAGACAATCTATGAGGATGCCCATGGAATGATAGAGTTGAGAAACCTGCATCATGTGATGCTCTACCTGCCCCATGAGGCATTGCAAACCCTTCCCAAAGCACCCTGCAGCCAGTTGCATAGTGGGATAGCTACCCACAGTGCACTGCTCTCTGTGTTTATGCAAGAGCTGCTAGTGTGGATGTGCTCTGCTGACACAAGGAGAATAGGGTGGATATGCAACAGTGGTTTAATTAAGGCGGTATAACTTTTGTCGACAAAACTCTGACATAGCCTGAGTCATTTTGATTCTTAATATGTGGGTAAACAAAAAGTGCTATATCTACATTCAGTACATTATATGTACATCTAGCTAAGTTCTTAAAATTATTTGCTGTTTATACAGCAGTGATGCAATTAACATTACAAATTAAGTTAATTTAATGTCATAAATAAATCTTACATAAAAGACCTGGGTCTGAGGAGTTTTTAGTCATATACATGAAACAACAAGTGAGCGTGACTGTGTGTGCCGACAAGGGAAGGAAGGGTGAGGGTTGCAAGAACAACTTTGAGATTTGACTTAAGTTATGTACGCCACTTAATGGTATTGCTGTTTGTTTCTATTTATGTAAGATAAGAATGGCCGTACTGGGTCAGACCAATGGTCCATCTAGCCCAGTATGCTGTCCGACAGTGGTTGTTGCTAGATGTTTCAGAGGAAATGAACAGAATAGGGCAATTTAACAAGTGACCCATCCCTTGTCATCTAGTCCTAGCTTACGGCAGTCTGAGTTTTAGTGATACCAGGAGCATGGGATTGCGTCCCTGAACATCTTGGTTAACGGTTGTTGATGGACTATCCTTCATGAACTTATCTAATTCCCTTTTTAACCCAGTTATACTTTTGGTTTTCATAACATCCCCTGGCAACAAGTTCCATAGATTGACAGTGTGTTGTGCGAAAAAGTACTTCCTTATATTTGTTTGAAACCTGCTACCTACTAATTTCATGGGGGGAGGGGAGGCGGGAAATCTGTTTGTTACGTGAAGGGGTGAAGAACACTTCCCTATTCACTTTCTCCACAACATTCATGACGTTAGACCTCTATTATGTCCCCCCACCTTCCCCTTAGTCATCTCTTTTGTAAACTGAACAGTCCCAGTCTTCTTAATCTCTGCTTATCTGGAAGCTGTTCCATACACACACAATTTTTGTTGCTCTTTTCTGTATGTACCTTTTCCAATTCTCTCTCTCTCTCATTCATATATATATATATATATATATATAAAAAGAGATGGGGCGACCAGAATTGCATGCAGTATTCAAGGTGTGCGTGCACAATGGCTTTATATAATGACCTGATATTTTTCTCTTACCTATCCCTTTCCTATTGGTTCCTAACGTTAGGTTTCAGAGTGGTAGCCGTGTTAGTCTGTATCAGCAAAAAGAACGAGGAGTACTTGTGGCACCTTAGCAAACATTGTTAGTGTTTTTGACTACTGCTGCACCTATGTTTTCAAAGAATTATCTTCAATGACCCCAAGATCTTTCTTGAGTGGTAACAGCTAATTTAGACCCCCATCATTTTGTATATGTAGATGGGATTATGTACTTAATATTTGGATTTCTTATAATCTAATCTTTAGAATTACTTCTCCTTTACTACTTTCCATTCTCTCACATTAAGTTGAATTGATTGGGCCTTTCATTGATATGGGGTTCTAGAAG